TCCACGATCAAGGGACAGAAATGATACCTCCTTTGGGTCTATCTCAGACAAGGCAAATTACCCTTTGAAGGTTTATTTTTCCTTCTATTGACTAAAAAGGAATCGTGAAATGAATATATCAACCCTCGATAACTATTATTTAGATGCTCAAGTGCAGTAAAGTGAATCTCATTGAACCATACCATTTGGGGAAGGATGAAACTTCACAAGTAAAGAAGGAAATAATGCTACACACCTATGGTAGAAGCTACAAAGTAGGGCATAATCCTACAGGAAAGGTGTATCTGCTTGTAATTACAGTTAATGAAGACACTGTGTCTGTGGAGAAAGTTCACCCCTGGAGGTGAAAAATAATGAATTTATGATCAACACGCACTTCAGTTTGGTGCAGCTTGTCTGTTACTCTTCTTGGGAATGTATATAGTTCAGAATTTCTTGCTGCCTGGGCACTGTGAGGGCCTGTGGGGTGTTGAGGCTGCTCATGGATCAGTCAGGGTAGGGCCTGGCTGCCTGTCCTGTCCTCTTGTCCCCCCTGGAGCTCAGGGGCAGCCCTAGCCCTGGTACTGGTCACCTCCATGGGGACAGGGATGGGCTGAGGCCAGGCTGGGGCAGGACTGTGGGGAGCTGGAGCCTGACCCTGTTGCAGTCTTGCTGGGGCTGGGGCTGGTGGCCCTGGGCTGTTGTGGGGTCTTGGGCCAGGGGCCAGGCAGAGACAGGAAGGGTTGGAGGTGCCGGTGCTTACATTGTCTATTAGTATTTGTATTTGTAACAGCAGTCATTTTTTTTCTTTTACTTCACCAGGATATGCAATATTAAAGGGTTGATTTAAGCTTTCCGCTGTCTTCTTACTGGAGAACATGTCATGCGAAGTGATAATTTTAAATAAAAACAAAAACAGAAGGTAATTCTGTTTGAGAAAAAATATGTGAAGATTTGGGTAATTAAATTGGTGGTCATTGGAATCATGGTTTAATTACAAGTGTAGATGAAAATGTGTGTTGAGAGCAGTTCAAATCAGAGGATATATGATGCTAGGTAACATTAAGCTAGCCTTCTTAAATTTTTAAATTTTGTGTTTTGTTTTTTTTTTATTATTCTTCTCATGGAGATACATTTGCTTATAGGAACAGATTAAAAATATCTTTACATCTTTATGAAAAGAATACCACAATGTAATTTTTAAATGTACAGTTATAATTTTCTGTAATTTTAAGTATACCTATCATTCATAAGTGCATCATTTGGAGTGAAATAATAATGCAATATGGGAATCAAGCAACAATAAAATGATTAAAACAAATAATCTGGGATCTGACAGAACATTTAAAAATATATATATGCTTAAATTTAATTTAAGTAAAAAATTAAAGCTTAAATAAACCAAAGACATTGCTTGCAGTGGGTTTATAAAGCTGCCGGTGCTTTGAACTGGGTATCATCCTCTCGACTTGGTTGAGACTAGACTTAGGCTCATTCCTAAACCATCACATTAATTTTATTGGTCTTATTCCTCTAGGTTCAATATACTTAAGTCAGAGGAAAAAGAGGTATATAAAATAAATAGATAGATAGATAGATAGATAGATAGATAGATAGATAGATAGATAGATAAAGATTTGGGTAAATTGTATAGTTCTTGCACCTTGTTCCTCTTCCACAGCATACAAAGACCTGTAACAAACATTGTGGGCAAGAACATATGAAACACAGAGGTTTGAATGTCAGTTAAAAGAGTGATCTAATAAGCCCTTTAGCTGTCATTTTATCAGTCTACATATATCCTCAATCCCAAGTTTTGGCTACTGATTAAAGGCAATTAATTGTGCATGCCTTTGGGTAATTTACTTGTAACACTCTTATGTATAATTGTTGACTTGTCTGTTTAAATGTTCCTATGTTTTGGCCTGTGTGTGTTGAAATTTCTTGTATGTTTGTGGGTTTTCTTTCAAATAATAATTGGGAAAGTGGAAATGGAAGGTTTCAGTAATTGTTGAGGCTCTCAAATATAAGGATTTCTGTTCTACAAAGGCAATAAAAATTAATCCTCAAAGTAGTTTCCACAAAACAGCATAAATGTATAAAGTGTGGATTATTTATTTCACGTGGCAAGTGCAAGTTGCAAATCAGAGTCTCAGAAAATACATTTTTCTTTTAAGATTTTGTGTGCGGTTTGTCAGTGCTGTGCTTAATTTGTAGTAATTTTCAGGTTTCCAGGTATGTTTGGATATGCATGTATAAGTTGACAAATATATGGGTATTTTTGCAGGTGTCATGGAAAGTGGTTCTTATTGCTCTTCAACAGAATATGTATTTTCTCTTTTTATTTATGGAATGATAATTTGTTTCTAGTTACAATGCAAGAACTTAATATCAACCAAGACTTTTTTCAAAGCTCACAGGTATTTGGTAAAAATAGGTCACAGTGTTAGAGCATGTTTTACAAAGGTCTGCTTACAGACCTGGAAAAAAATAACAATAATAAATAAATAAATAAATAAATAAGTAGAAATAGGAAATATCAGAAATACATCCAGAAATATCCAAAAAGAAGGGAAGATGTTTTTATCTTACTTCTTTTATCATTTTACATGTGTCTTCATTATTTCCATTTTTTTTCCTCCAACTGTTGTTTGATCATTGCTCTGAAAGGACAGAAAATTGTTAGTGTCTGTCAATATAATTTGATATCACATGCATTTGACTTTTCTGAACTGATTGTTGCTGGGGTGCAACTTGCCAGCAGTGACATGATTTTTAAGTTATATCTCTTCTTCGCTAGTGACTTCAGGATCTCTTGTGTAATCACCTTCTGAGATCCAGTCTGGACTATCAAAAGGTTGAAAACTGGATTGGGCAAGTGTGAAAAATAGGTTATAGAAATACTCGGTTGGGAAGAGGGTACATCAGTAGACAACCAGTAACACTGATAATAAACATATATATGTATGCTAGTATATGTTTCACACAATTTTTAACAAAGATTCTTGGTTCCAAAGTGTTAACAGTCTCTATCATGGGAGAAAGAAAAGATACAGGTAAACAGCTCACATAAGGATGAATACATAATTGTGCAAGAAAAGGGCAAAATGGGATGGACTTCTGGGAGAAACAGACATTTGAAAAATACAATTTCAAGGAGAGCAGGAAGAAAAAAAAATCTTGCTAGGCAAGAAAAGCAATTCCCATCTTAAGGAATTTAGTGAACAACAAAATGGGTAAGATAAGAGAGGAAAAAGACTGGTTGAAGAAGAAGCAATAGAGACTGAAAGAAGCCATGAAAAACAAAAAGTTTAGCCATTGTTAGAAAGTTAGCATCTGTTGTAGATTAGCATACAGTAGTATATAAAATCAGTTATCCTCAATGGTTAGAAATTCCTGTAGCAGTGTACAAGTGTACAATCAATGCCGATATTTCAGTAAAAGTGACATAAAGAAAAATTTGTAATAATTACATAGGATCTTGAGGGTAGGAGAGAGGAACTGTATTTTAGGAAGTGATTTCTGGTCTAAAACACAGAGAATTCAACTGCTCTGGGCTACAAGTCAGGCCAAGATCAAGAATTTAGTGAGACAGAGCAGTTGATACATTTGGGGTTTGGATGAAGTGGGAGATGGAGATGGAAATCCCACTAAAAATGGATAGAAAAATAATGCTAGAAGTAGTAAGGATGGCTTGGTGATGAAGTTATGCTGATGGTGCATTCTCCTTATGTAGCTCCTCTGAATGGAGATAGAATATTTACCAGTGAAAATTTGTTTAGAATACCATTTAAATCAGCTTGCTAGGCATAAAAAGTTATACCATTGAAAGACTTGTACTACTACAAATGTGTCTAAACCAGGATTTTTGCCTTTTTAGTTATGTTGCTTGCAAGTATAAAGGTTTGACCCTTTGTATCCCTAACACAGCTATGCCAGCAGGAGTTGTAAATGTAGGCCATGCCTCATTGCCTTTGAGTGAAGCCACAGTGCTAACAGAGATTTCCTGACAACTGTCTCCAAATTCATATACATCTTTTTAATAGGAGTCATTAAGGGTGAGAGGTAACCATTTGTAGTTACATCAGCAGAAAAACAGGTTGATAAAAATCTTAGTTCTTCCCATGTTCTGAGGAGAACTCTGCTTTTAATCGCTTTTAAGGAAGTTTCTCTGTTCACAAGCAGATGCTTCAATTTGCGGTAAGAAGAATAAAGCCCAGATTGCTTTCACAGTCTGCATTTTTATCCTTTGCCAGACGTGAGTCTAGTAGTGTACAAAACTTAGTTGCATGCTTGGATTCCTTTACCAGGAAGGTAACCACAGTCTGAACAGGTCAGCAAAGTGTGTAGCATCTAGCAAGACATATTCTTTCATTCTGGCTGGTACGGATGAGAAAGGCTGTAACCATTGAACATTAAACTGGTTGCAAAGTTCTGGCAAATCTCTCTTCTACATGTGTAGTTGGTTTGTGTATTGCACCTGTGGGTGACAACTACATCTGTGTGAAATGGATTATGTAGGTGACAGCCAAAAGTAAAGTGATCTGTGGAGCCTGCAGAGCCTGTGAAATCCTTCAGGGAACTGGAAAAAGCCTATACAATGCTTAGAGATGAGTCCAAACCTGGTGTGTAAATCAGAATTCAGCTTTGGGCAGCTCCAAGGTTTTGATGTAAGAACCTCTTTTAACAGGCTTGTTGGCTTACACTAAGGGGCTGGCGTTATCTGGCAGTCAGTGCTGCCCTTTTCATCTTGCTTTTGATTCTAGTCCTTTGGGGAAAGGGCTAAAATATACGGAATATAACCTTTCTAAGCATTCTTGGTAGCGTGCTCTGAAATGTGAAGGGATTATTTGATGGATGGTTTTCAACATTCTGGTGCCCGCAGAACCATGGCTTATCTTCCTAATCTTCTAAATCTAATGTAATCTGTATATTATATCCTCTCTACGTCTATGTATTTTATAGCTGAAACCACACTGGCAGGGAACTCTAAAGTGCCCGTTTTTGTTTCTTTCCAACAGCTGGCTGTCCAGATTCCTTGATTAAAGAGCTTCATCACTTCAGGATTCTGGGAGAAGAACAGGTGAGTTAGCATCTCAAAGTCAGTATCTTAATGTCATGAAAGATAGACACTAATGAGACAGTTTTGTCTCTCTCCAGGGATGCAAAGTGTGTCTCATGAACCCCAGTGACCTGAAATGTGGGGGAAAAAACACACGGGAGATATATGTGATATTTTTTTTTCATTCTATCCATCAGCCTTGACAGGTTATTAATTGGTACATCTGCTACCTGCCACAGCTTTTCGGCTTTGGACTACAGCAGTTAACAGGCTCTCTAAAACAGCAGATAGACAAACAATCTGACTAAGGGCCTGATATTTACAGCTACATGATGTCCATCTCTTTTTGTGGCCTCTGGTCTCTTTTAAAAGTATGTTTCTCATTCATCATGATATCTGTGCTTTGCACTGACAAAACTGTTTCTATACAGGGATCTTATGAAGCATGTGAGGTATGCTTTACCACACTCACAAGATGGTCATAGTTACTATTTTATTAATAATTAAATTGATGTACAGAGATATTGAGAAAATAGCCTTAAATGTCAAGAGGCAAGTTGAATTTTTAAATACCCAGTGCTTCTGAAATTCAAGTTGTCCTTGCCTCAAGTATCTTCCCTAATGTGTGGGTTATGAAGCCCAGCTGCCTAACATAGAATTGCTGTGGGTACTGGGGACCAAGGACCTGAAAGGTCAGCATTAGTGTGCTTGTGCTGTATATCAGAATATTTGCATCTGTTAATGAACCTAGCTCCAAGGGACTTGCACAAAGATATGTGAAGACTGTGATAGGAGAAAGTCCTTAAATGTTAATTTGAAGTATGATCACTTAGGTGTTAGAGCAGATTATATTGTGTAGTACACCCTGTTGCTCCACCTTTCTATTTCACTATCCTTCAGGCATATTTTTCTTACATGTAGGACTGCTGGTACATTTTCTAGATTTCCAGTTTTCCTCCACCAGTCTCCCACTTCAGTTGTTAAAAAAAGTCAAATGCATAAGTCCTCAGGAGCTCAGTGTCTCAACAAGAAAGCAGCATGAAGGGGAATGTGGGAGGATTTGTCTGACAGAAATGGAAAAAAAAGACAGAAAACCAAGTAGGCCAGAGGAAAGACTGGAAGCAGGAATCTGATGAGACTGAGGATTCAGGAAGGAGAAATAAAATAAATTAAGACTGGGATTGATGGGACTGCAAGACTGGTGAGAACCAGCTGACAAATGGAGGGCAGAGGAAGATGAAGCTTGGAACCATGGAGACTGGACTGGCTGGTCAAATATGGTAGAAGTAGAAACGAGAGTGGTAGGGATAAGAGTCTGACAAGAAGCTGGGACCAAGAACTATAAGGACAAGGTAAAGAAACTTGCTGGAAGGGACTGGTAAATAAAAGAAGATCTGTGTTTAATGGCCTGCTCAAGGGGGTGAACATAAATGGGCTAGGAGGAGAGGGAGCAAAGCAGAGATTTGAAGATGAATTAGAAACAGATCAACCAAGAGACAGTAGGAGTGAGAGGGCTGAACCAGGCAAAATTTGTTAGCTCTGCTGGTAGAGGTCCAAGAATGGACTTGTAGGACCCGGATTTGATAATAACCACTGGCAGAGCAACAGAATTTAATTGATGAAGTTTATTTTGTGTTGTTTTGTTTTTGGTTTTTTTTGGTTTGTTTTTTTTTTTTTTTTTTGGCTTGTTTGTTTGTTTGTTTGTTTTCCTGTTTCCTTTTTAGAAAAAGAAGTGGTAGACATAAAAATGAAGGCTAAAACAGCTGAGTGCCCATCAAGAATTCAGACATTAGGAAATGTCAGACTTAAGATTGCCTTTGTAATCTAAATGCTTTCTTTCTTTATTCCACTCACCTACATCTTTACATTAAGAAAGTATTAAATTATACAGTCATTTATGTGATCTTCAAAGGTGAGATGATGTAAACCACAAGGAACCTTAAAGGAAAAGGGAGTTAATTTCTGTCCAATAATAAGAGAAGTCTTGAACAAAGTGGAGGAGTTTGATGAATTATATGAATTATGAAGTACTATATTTTTGCCACTCTGAATATTTTTTGCATTTTTACTGACTTCTGTTGTGAAATTACTCCTCTTTGTAGTGCCTACACCTAAACAGATGAGAAATGTTTGCCACTATGCATTAGGAGCATAAAACTATGCAGATGGAAAGTTGTTCTACAAAATGGATCTGACCTATAAAAATTTGTCTTTCTCTGAAACTAGCTACACTAACAGGTTATTCGGAAACAATGATTATCATTATAGTCTTAATAAATGTCTTTGCAACTAGTGAGCATTACCATGCCACTTGAATTATTCCGTGAGCAGACAAAAGCATGAAACGATTTTGTAATTATATTCTTTCCCCACAAAAGTTTTGTTGCCATGAGAGATGACCACAGTAGCCTTTGTTTGAAATTAACATGCAGTTTGACAGTTAGGGAGAAGTTGGTGCAAAAACAAGGTAAAAAAAAATAATAAAATACATCTTAATGAATTTTGGGTAGAGTCCGTATTTGTCTGACTATCTAATTATTTCTCATATGTGTTTAGTTATGCATTTGCTTTTCAAAAAATTTAATGTCTTTTTCTGTTATCATTCATTCTAGTTAGAAGAAAAATCATAATTAATTATGACCCTGTTTTATTCAGACTAATTAAAATTTCAGCATTATTAGTCTACATATATTTTCTTCAAATCCAACCAACAGTCAAGAAATAATAGGGCCACGTTACTGCTACATGTCCAAACTTGATTTATTTTTAAAATGCTTGTGTATTTAAGTCTGGATTATAAAAGCAGAATGGACTATTGTGATAATCTTTTCTGATCTCCTTTAGAATCCACATTACATGACTTTCTTGTATTAATTCTTGTTTAAACTGGAGTATATTGCTGAGAAAAACATCCATTATTTGTTTACAAATCACTTACAAACATTAAATCCTATTATACCTTTCAGTAGTGAAAAACAAAAAATTCCCAGCATCTTTTCTTTCTGCCACTCTACAGCACCAGCACTGCTATTTCTCAATGTCTAGATCCTTTAAATTTCAAATTCCCTCTGTTCTATCACAAGGTAATAAGTGATCATCATACAAACAAAAAAACTCAAACCTATGAATGTGACTCAGAAAGAACTATCACATGCCCCTAAAACAGAACTAAAAAATCACTTTTACAGCAAAAGGCAGCCAGTTTCTGTCAGCTAAATATCTCTCCAATAGAATGAAGAAACCCTTTAGTCTGAAATGGACATAGTCAGTGTAGGTCCTCATAGGTTCCAGTTAAAGCAGTTCCAGTTAAAGCAGTCTTAGAGAAGTCTGCTTCTTAACTCTCTTACTTTTATCAACCAAATTTTAGTCAAATTAAAGTCAATCAACTGTTTCTAATACAAAGCAGTGATCTCTACCATGTCTTTACTGCATATTTGTTTCTTGTAAATATTGAGCATATATAATTTTTATTGATGTCATGAAGAGATAAAGGTGTTGAGAAGCTTATACAATCAAACCAATGGAAAATGTGTCTGCCTACCTATCTGTCTATCCAAATAAACTGTTTCTTTATCTAAATGTAAGCACTGAAGGAAAACTGAGAAAAAAAGGCTTTATATTTAACTTGAAATGTGAAGAGTTGTTGATTAATCTAATATTTGCTAAAAGTTCCATGATAATAAAACTGTTGTCCAAATAGTCTAAAATCTCAGTAGTCTCAAGGACATGTAAATTTCCCATGTCTCCTATTTCCTCAGGTATGTGCAGTACAGGACATTCATTATTGCTAGAAAGTCTATCTTTTAAGGTTTAATTGGTGGCATCAATATAGTTTTTAAAGAGGGAATTATGTTTAGACTTTATGGAAAGAGGTAATCATACTCTATGTGGTGAAATAGAAGAGTACAAGACCCACTGGTACATGATACACGTTTTGGATACCTAATTTACCGCATAAAATTGGCTTCCAAAGTAATTGCTTTAAAATGCAACACAAATACGTTTAGCAACAGATTGCTACCCCACTTGATACTTGGTACTTTGAAAAGGTGCCAAAGAGTATGACCTAGAAAAGTCTCCAAAGGTAAGCTACTTCTGGAGCTGGTGAAAATGAAAGGGCTTCTTCATGTCTTGGATCTTTATTCTTTTCCCAGTTTCTAGTTTCCTACAGTATTATATGAGTGGAAAAGATGCAGTAAATGTTCAGACAGCAGCTTTGACTGGTGTGTTTCGTAACACCTTTTAACAGACAATACCAGTGCACGAAAGTCTGCATAAGGCAAAGAGACTTTCCTGGCCATGCAGCCTCAGGAAGTGGAAAACCTGAAGCCTTCTAACTGGCCTTAGCTCTGTTAAGCTTTTTCTTGCAATTCAGTCTCACTATTCCTAATCCATAATTTCCCCCTAGCATAATGGATGTAGTCCAACCTGCTGTCTAACCGCTTCACTTCATAGGTACCTTGAGATACATTAAGGATTGGGATGAAGGATTTATTAACTAGGGAACTATTGAAAAAAAGCACAATATAAGAAAGTTACAGTCTTCTGCAGTAGCCATTTGCCATGTCAGGCTTGCTGCTGCTGCAAGTAAACACAAATGATTCTATGAGTCGTGATCGTACAAGCTGCTAACAAAAACATGTTAAAGATGCCGTAAATATGGGCTCTGTCCAAATGCAGTGTAAGGCAGGTAATTCAACAAGCCAGTTCCAGAGACAGCAGAGAGAACACTTTAGTTCAGACCTTAGCACTATAGTATACCCACATAGCAAGTGAACTCTTACGGAGTCTTGTAATGACTCTCTGAGAAACTTCCCTCTTCTCCCCAAAGTGATAAAAAAAAACACCCTTGTTTAATTGTTTAAATGGAATATTGTGATTCATGAATAAAATTGCAGCTACATCTGAAAGCTGGAAGGGAAAACAATTGCAAAAGCAGTGTGCTGCTATACCTGAGTGCCCCCAACAGGTCACAGAACAGATGAAGCAGATGACATGCTAGTGGCAAGAAAAGAAGCTGC